GGCAGCTATGCTTATCACTCGGAATCTCAGGATGGTAACTAGTTAGTATTGCTTACTTAGGACACAATCTGGATGTGCCACTTCCTAGTATAAGTACTAGGATGCAAACTAACTTGGCGCCTAAGTACCAGACATATAGGACACAACCAGATGTACAGGATGTACTGGATACCGAATGCTCCCTCCTTGCATCAGGATGTACTATGTACAAGTCTGATGCGGGAATAACTTTTGCTAATACACTATTACTACTTTCTGTGGGATCGTCGAAGACCTTGCAAGTTCGTAATCAAGAGGGATAACACTTAATCAGAAGATAGCTAATGTCTATAGATGCTTCCATAACTCCTTGCACATGGGAAGAAAGTCATCCAGTTAGCTCTCCTTGGTGACTGGACAGTTAGCCACTAATAAGACACTGATGTGCTGAGGTTTTCTCTCCAGCAGGAGTATTGGTAAACACTACACAGAAACTAATATGTATATGTGAGACTGCTGCAAGAGTGTACTGATACCGTAGACCCTTCAGGGTACAGTAAGGGTGTCAGGCAACCCTTAGCATAGAAGGATATACTTGTACTAGTCAGGGTAACCCAATGGTAGAGTTTTGAGTATAAGTCTAACTACTTAAAGATTATACGAGAACTCTCCTGCCACAACACAATTAACATCCAGTAGAGACTTTAATTGAGATAAGCTTAGGCTTAATGATATTAAGTTTTACTATTTTCTTTTATTCTTTACATTTTTCAAGAGCTGTATTCCAGAGATTTGAAGTTTGATATGGTTGCATCCTTTGAATCTATCTTCCTAGGGGAGCCGCTGTTACAACATCAGGACAGAAATCTCCAGAGCATACTAGTGGAGATCAAGACCACCAGTTTAGACAGGAGATAATTCAGATCTTTAGGTGGTTACTTATCATGTTGAGAGTTAAAAGGAGTTGTTTGGAATATTAAGATTAATGTTACCTGTGACAGGTAGGATTGGAACATCAGAGGTGATAGGGTAAACAAAGTCAGATGGGACAGAGGAGAATCAGATAATATCAAGAAGTAGCAAAGGATTACAGGCATGGTCATAATGCAGGAGGCAGCAAAGCATGCATTCTCACAAGATAGGAAAAATAATGCATGGAATCTTCAAACATAGGAGACCTTGGCATCTATATCTAGTAGCGTCCAGATAAGGTACACAAGAGGAAGGAACATCTGCATATAATATCTATGGTATATTGCATTCAGATTAATGGTTTTTGTTTGTTTGTCCTATACTTCAAATGCCTAAAATATACAAAACACACAGCATACAAAGTGAAATTTTTGCTGATGAAGAGATATAGTTGTAGTATTATTGAAATCTGAGGTCAAAGCTAGTAGTGGTACCAGTAACGATAAAAGTAGATTCTTATTAGTATATCTAGTTTTAATTCCTGTCTTGTATGAGTGCTGTGAGAAATTTGGTTGGACTAGAATTGTTGAAGATACTGCTCTAAGGCATTAAGGATAAGTTATATCTCCTTCTTATATCTTATACTTATTTTATATTTGGTCTTTTTATTACAAAACTACTTAAGAATGAAGTCTAACTATTAATATGGAGACTTACTTGGGGAAAAGGTATAGAAGAGTTGCAAGTAGGAAAGAGCTAATCAGAGCTGTGGAGGAAGCATCAAATACTATTCCTAATGGAAGGTTTATGGATCTTTGCAGGAGTATGCCAAAGTATATCAGAGAGGTTATCAAAAGAAAAGGGTACCAAACTCATTACTGATTTATTATTTTCTTTTTATTTCACTTTCAGGAAATACTGAGGATTTTTTTATTTTATCTCCTTTACCTATCTTATTTATCAAATGTTGTTGTGGAAAGGGGTAGTACTATATGTTGCCAATGTTCATGAACAGCCGTTTGTGTTGTACGAGCGTCTCAACATTTTTTTTCCACCCCCTCTGTATGTGTACTAGCCGGTTCATTTGCTCTACTGACTGCCCCCAACCCTACCCACCGATTTCTTGATTCTGAGGGTCCACAATAAAGAATTTTAAAACTACTGCAAAATAATTGCTTTTTAAGAGTAGATTTGGGACATGAGGGAGTGATTGAGCGAGTGAGAAATTCTTCTTTTTTTTTTAGAGGGCACTTTTTTTTCTTGCCTTATGGCATAACGTCAATTACGGGGATCCGGGACAACACCGGGATCCGGGACAACATGTGGGATCAACCACAACTGACTCTAGAAATCAAATAACTCCGTGAACATGAGCCCAAAAAAAATGAAAAAACTATGAGAGAGACAGGTGAGCTAGGCTGAATCTAACTATGGCAGTAGAAAATATTTCTGGATGCAAGGGAAGGGAGTTTAGCTCAGAACATATGAAAAGAGTAGTAATTTAATAGAAGAACTTACAAGAAGGAAAAATAGACAAAGCATGAGCTTAGAGCTTCCGTGAGCGCAGCACCATATGAAGAGGTCGATCTGGGAAGATATGGGCTGTTTTTTGCTTGCTGGTTCTTTGGCGTAAGGATAAGGTGGTTTGTGGGGCGTCGGTCTCAGAGGATGAAATCCAGTCAATCTCGCTACGCTCACCAGAATGATTGCTCTGAACTTCTTCAGGTGCTGAAGGGTCTACTATTATGGCTGGCTTATCAACAATCATAACATGGTCCTGGGTCTGTAGAGTTTTTCGTGGTGGCTTTTTTTTTTTTTCTGCCGAGAGGTGTTTGCTGTATTGCGAGTAGAGGATCATCGTTTGGTGTCTTTCTCGAGACGAATGTCGCGCAACCTCATCAGATCCATCCCAGTAATAATTCTAGCCTCCGTCAGCTTTCGTCTATCGTTCTTGTTGTATATCGGATCGATTCCCTGAAGCTTCCTGGATTGTTCCTGGTAGAGTTCCCGTTGTGCCATCTCCGTCTCCAATTGATGTCCTAACTCTCTCATGATTGTTTTAACCCGTGTTATCATAATCTGAGCTGTGGGATCTGTAGGCTGTGGGTTGTCCTTGAGTGACAGTGAGGCCATCCCAGTATTGAGCAACCTTTCAGCTACCTGAACTCGTCGTCGAATGTCTTTACTCTTATGAGGAGTTGTGGTAAGCCCCATGGTATCGCGGCGTGAGGAGACTGCCGGCCTCATTTTTCCGAGCACCTTGT